ATTGCCTCGCTGCTGTCATTTCGCATGGTTTAACGCTGCAATGGGAAAGCCATGTGATTGCACTGTCGATGTAGGTGGATTCGGTTCTAGTGAGGCCGATTTTGAAGTGGATCGAAACTATTACCTTTGGGATGGATCCTCTAAAATACTCTTTTGATGTTAAGGCCTGTCTGCCCTGTTGCTTCCTTAAAATCCTTTCTAGATTTACCTATATTGCAGAACATGCCATGATAGATATGCCCTTTTTGAAGGGTCTCCATGGGTTTACCCGTTATTAATTCATTTTTCCAATCGGATGGATTTTTTGCCGCCTAACTGGCGTTTAAAACAGTCAGTTTTATTTAGTGGGGAAGACATGTCTGGGATCGGCTCCATTTGCACAAAATATGATGTGACAGAAACGATCCTTCCATTAACAAAATATTTAAAACCATATCTCTTAGTCTGATCATTCATCCGTCTATCTATCCATCCCATTTTCATCCATCCACCAATTCATCCGTCTTTTTGTTTGCCTATTCTCTTATGTTAGACATCATTTCTTGAGGTGTTAGAAGGCAAACAAATGTGGATGCAGGACCAAAATAGACGTAGATTTGCTGAAAGATTAGATTTATGAGATTTGCAGGTGTCTTTTGTACTTTTCAGCATTCAACATCAAAAACAGCTGCAGTGGAGATGCAGACGTCTTTACCGACACTGAGCGTAGCACGTTACGGGCAACTGGCACCTGCTCAGGCAGCACCGTAGGCTACGTACGTACAGGTGTCAGGCGAGCTAAAGACAGTCTATTGCAAGCGTGCTGATTCCACTGATGCCATCGGAAATGGAGCAGATTCTTGATGGGGTGTAGGCCGACGTCGCGGAGTGAGAAGCCAAGGTGACTGTCGCACGTACAGTCTGCCATCTTTTGTCTCTCTAGTTTTTCTCCTTTTTCGCCCACCTCTCTGTCTATTCATCATGCAAACTACTCAGCTATCCTCCAGCCATCCATTTCGTATCCACTCATTCCGTGTCCATCAAACCGTGTTTCCATTTGCGCTCTCTCTGTATTTGCTTTGTCTACTTATTATTTGCTTGTGCATTAATTACTGCTTCAATCATCAATCCAACAGTTTTTGTTTTGTTTTGTTTTAAATTTTCATGCAGTACTCGTCGCGTGTTTTGAGATAGCTCAAGTTAAGATTGCTTGTATGGTTGATTCATATGCGATTAAAGATTAAAACGTGTGCGTGCATGGCATCTTCATTGGTCAGGTATATAATTGAAGTTCGTAGGTGTTGATTTTTTGAATCTGATGGGGGACGATACGTCATGGATGACCTGTGGAAATGCTACATATCCAGTCAATTGCATTCCGGTTGCCGAATCCTTTGGGGGTGCCAATGGGTTTGGTCCACTTGCAGATCTCGCTGGCTGAAAACACTGAACACGCATTCAGCTTGTCAGCAAAGCTGGAAGAGTCGGTAGGGCGTCTTCTGCGTCTTCTGAATGGGCTCATCAGTGAACGTGGTATGAGCAGAGAGGGTCGAAGTCATTGAAGAATTGGTTTCCTTAATGCACGCAACATTTATGCTCCCTTTCTCCTGATGGGGCAGCAGTCGACTCTCCCTGAAGTGACCAAATCGAAGCTTGCTCCTGGTAAAGTGGGTTTTTTTCCCCTTTGGATCCTGCTTCTTACTCTTTATCGGCATCGACTTCTATTAAAGCAGGGATGGTTCCGGTAGAGGCCAGAAAGTCGCAGGAGAAGTGGTTTGATTTCCAATCTTTTCTTCATCATTCTTTTATTGTCCTTCTGTCCTCGGTATAAGCCCCTTATCTCCCCTTGATCTCTGTGAATTTGAAAGCGCAATTAGTCTGCGCTTAGCCTGATTGATAGCAGAGAGAAGTTCAACGCAAAGTCGGGTCTCCAGATCCGTCTTTCTTCCTTTCCACCTTTCTAACCCATTGTCATTCAATGATGATTGTTGCCTACTTTGCAGGACTCGTGTCCTGTGCTCTTTGGATAAAACACTTATTGCTGGCTATCAGTGTTTACTCAATCGCCCTTAACCTTTGCTGAGTTTATTAAGGTCGCTTCCTTTCTATTTAAATTAGGAAGAATTGCTTAGGGCTCTAGTATTTTGTTCGTGGGATTGTGATAGTAAGTGTCCAAGGTGCTGCTGCCAAATCTATGCTCAAAGATCTTATTTCCGCTTTCCATTTGCTGTTTATTGTACAGCTATCGGAAGTAAACTGTGTAGCAAAATGGATGTGT